TATATATATATATATATATATAATTTATGAAAGAGGGGATGAAAGCAAATTGATAAGTAAGTAAGTAATTTGTAAATTAAATGTTGGGTAGTTGAATAAGTCTTAAATCAGTTAGCAAAGAAGGAAATCTGAGACTTATATGAGGTAAGGGTCACTCCACCTAATAGGTTAACCTTTTGTATTCAATACCCCTGAAATGGAGGATTGTTGGGTAGTTGAACTAGTCCTTCATCGGTTAGTGAAGAAGGAAATATGTGACTCAATCCCTCTTTTTGTTACTAACTTTTGAGTTCGGAAAAAAGAAAAGGAATAATTTTTGTTTCAGTAAAGTAAGGTAATTATATAGATTTATATGAACAAATTAATGTACCCCCACAAAAAAATTCACTTTAATGCATAATATATGATATGGGAATTATTATTGTAGCTTACCCCATATATATATGGATCTCTAACATCACGAAAGGTCATTAGCAAGAAGAATGAATGAAAAAGAAAGGGTTAGTTTAGGAAAATGCGGACCAATTTATAGTTTTACAAAAGGAGTATCTTATTTTACAGATATTGAAAAATGGCATAAATTCTAAAAACGTGAATTAATGTTTTTAGAAGCATTATCCAATAAGTTGTCTTTTTGTGGGACATATATACAAGTATGGACTTATTATTTTTATTTATATTTTCCAGAGAGCCTTTCCTCAAAACTTTTATTTATTTGCAATACTTTCGTTGACTAAACTACCTTTGATAGCCAATCAACTTTAAAGTTTAAACAATTCGAGGACATTGAATGATTGTGAGATTGGCACAATGATGGTTTTGTTTATGGTGTGGTCAGGGCTGTGATGCGTTTGTGTCCATTTCTCTATTATGGTGTGTTTTGTTTCTATGGTATGTAGATGCCGTACGGCTTTGCCAGGAAAAAAAAGAAATAATATATATATATATATATATATATATATATAATAAAGTGACAAAAGTGCAAAAAACCTCCCTGCATTATTCACTTTATTACAAATACTCCCGAACTACAAAAGTGTGCAAATAATCCCTGAGACTTACCGGATCAATTTTTTCGGCCTATGTTGATTTGAAATGACCGAAATAACCTTACTTATTTCATTATATAAAATAGAAAAAAAAAACCTAATTATAAATTACCAATTATACCCCCACTAACTTAAATTATCCTAAATTATGAATCTAAGCAAGCCCTGACACTTGCCGGCCTAATTGACGACCTCCACAAAACGAAGCAAGCCCTAACACTTGCTGGCGACATGCTCGACCGTGGTGGAGATAAGATCAAGATCCTTTACTTCATCGAGAAACTGAAGCACGAAGCCAAGAGGAGTGGCAGGAAAATCATCACCATAAACGGCAATCACAAGATCATGAATGAAAAAAGTGGACTGCCAGTGACAATAAATTTATTTTTTGTCGACGGTGGGAAGAACAGTGAGACTAGAGGACTCTGCGGTGCAGAAAGCTTTGTATAACCCATCGCAACGAGTAAGGATATGCTCGGGACGACGAGTTGAGGAAGACGACGAGAAAATATATCGGCCGCGTCTGTAGGCTTTGGGCAGCGGTAGAGGGTGGTGGTGAGAGCGATGTCAGAGGATTCCCGGCTGCGGCAACAAAGATGACAGGACGACTCGCGGCAGAGAGCGTGGAACAGCGGTGAGCTCGACTGTTGGTGGCGATTGGTTCGGCCATGGATGACTCGGCCTTGAATGGCTCTAGCTGACTGTGATCAGACCGGCGGTGGCGATGGCAGAGAGCTCGGCTAAGGGCGAGCAGGGAGCTGGGCACGGACTGGGTCGGATGAAGGCTTGGCGTTGTTGGGTTTCTGATGAGCTCAATTTGTTGAGCAACGGAAGAAGCGGTCTGATGCGTAGGAGAGTGCGGTTATCGGAGAGGTTGAGAATGGAAACCAAGGCTTCATAGTTTCGATGAGATGATGGGTGATTCAACTTGCCACCTACGCGCTCGGGTGATTCAACTTGCCACCTACGCGCTCCTATACAACAATTGCCTTTACCAAACATAACCAAGAACATGGAATTTTTAACGCAAACAAGTAATCTAGCGGGTTTGATGAAAAAGGGCAGTAGAATGATTTTATGAAATAATATGAAGACCCTATTTTTGTATCATCAAAGATTCAATGTCTATATACTACTGAATCTATATATATATATATATATATATATATATATATATATATATATATATATATTAAAAAGGGCAGTTTGGGTATTATCATAATTTCAACAGGCGCGTGACTTTACACACGTCGAAAAAATTGATCTGGTAAGTCTTAGGGGGGTATTTGCACACTTTTGTAGTTCAGTGGGGTATTTGCAACAAAGTGAATAGTTCAGGGATTTTTTTGCACTTTTGCCTAATAAAGTAAATAAGCAATTGTACCGTTCACACCTTTATTTGACTTTGTCAGAGCACCTCATTTGAATATTCAGAGAACCTTTATCCTTGCCCGAAACACATTGTAAGATGTGTGTATATTTTAGGATAAATTGCACTCACATTCCTAAGTTTTTGGTTAACGCCACTCAGTGGATGGTCAACACGCTTGTTTATATTGACACCCACTGAGGTTTCAACAGTTTACATACACACCCCCTCTAAACCTCTAACACTCGAGAAAATGACCATTTAACCCTTTGACTTGATCAGCAAATACAAGTGTAAATTACCAATCTAAATTTTGAAGGAACAAAATAACCTTCATTTTTCATTCTCTCTTTCTCCAAAAGATCATAAAATGTAGATATATACACAATACATTTATACACGCCACCATTGTCTTAAATGCCATGCACTCCCATGATTTGTTGTGGCGGTCCTTGAACCACTACAAAATTCTCTCCGATTGGGGCTATGGACGCCTCTACACCATCATCGTCAGCTATACTTTCGCCGTGAACCCAAATGAGATGTGAACGCGTTGCGATAATCAGGGAATGTATGGTTTACCACTCCTAGTTCTTCAGACCCGGTCGGTTCAATAACAAGTCCAAGTTCTGGCGGCAGGCCGCAAACCAGAGAAAAGAAAAGCCATCAGATCGGCGTATGCCAGGTCTAAGCTCGGCTCTCCGTCGACGGCGAACCGCTCAAATTACTTCGAAGCTTAGAGCAAGTGATCCAATAACTTGCTCGGGCTATCATCAGCGGAGATATTTAGCTTCTCCATCGACTTCTTCTTGACGGAGCTTCGATCCGGTAATGGCTTTGACCGTGATGTCGACAGCAAAGGCAAAAGAGGTCACTTGGGACCAATGTTGTGGTTTTAGGGTTTGAAGTGACTTGGCTAGGGATGTTGACGGTAAAAGCAAAGGCAAAGGCAAAGTAGGTCACTGGGTTAGATCTGTTGTGTGGTGTTGTCGTCGGGAATGATTTGAAGCGGCGAAATTTTTGGCGGTGCTCCTTTAAGCAACTGAGATGAAATTCTTGGTTGGATGATGATTGGAGATAGTCGCGATCTATAATCCCTTTCTTTCTCGTACCCTCTCTGCGTATTTCTGGTGGGAGGAGGCGGCGGCGTGGGTGTAGGTCGTAGGTGGTAGTGAATAAAAAAAGGAAAAGGGTTGTGTCTTTTTGGGAGAGAATAGAACAGAGAGAACGAGTTATGTGTTTTTTTTTTTTGGGGTCTGGCCTCTTTTTTTTAGTGGGTGCAGCAGTGGCGGCGGCAGTGGTTGAGAAAGGGGATTACAGTTAAAAAAGATATGAAGTGGATTAAGGTGACTGAATAAAATAATCAGGAGTAAATATGACTTTTGAAATTTTAGGGGTGTCAATGTAAATAAATGCGTTGATTGTCCGCTGAATGACATTGACCGAAAATTTAAAGGGTGTGAATGTAATTTATCCTATATTTTATTGTGCAATTAAATTTAGAATTTAACGTATTAGATTGATAATGTACTTTGATGTGACAGAGTTAGTACTGGTGTTTTCTTTAGTATGTTTTTTTGGTTTTTTTTATTATTTTATTTTATGTTTTATCATGGACTTGTGAATTTTGAAGAGTTATTTAATTTTCCATTTTTCTTCTTTTGCATGGGTCACAAATACAACTAATACCGAGTTACTTGACATTGAACTCCCATAACATGCACAACGAAGCTTCACAATCTTTATATATATATATTTACTTCTTTTTATCTTTCCGTAAGAAGTTTCACAATCTTCCAATAGCATAATAATTTGGTTATTAATTGTCACATTTCAAAAATAAATCCACTATTTTATTATATAGACATTTTCTAATAGCATAATAATTTATTTTTAGTGCATTTAAAAATTCCTATTAAAATTGAATATTTTCTTCTCTAGATATTAGCCAGTGGATTAGAAGTTTAGAATGTGACTATTTTCTTCTATAGATATTTTCCAATAGCATAATAATTTATTTTTAGTGCATTTAAAAATTCCTATTAAAATTGAATATTTTCTTCTATAGATATTAACCAGTGGATTAGAAGTTTAGAAGTTTGTTTGGTTCAATTTTTTTATAACAGTTTTTTTTATAAATAATTAAAAATCAGAAAATTATCATAAAATAGAAAATTGTACAGAAATTTGTTTGATTTATTTATTTAAAATATTAATAAAAAAAGTCTTAGAGAACAGTCTTACTAAAAAAAAGTCTTAGAGAATAGTCTTTTTTTAGTTATGTAAAAATAAACTATTTTTAAAAAGAGAGAGAGAGAGAGAGAAAAAAAAAAAAAAAAAAAAAAAACCAATTGTGCGTATCCTATTGCCTCAACGCAGCAAAAATCATAACCACATCTTCCATCAATGTCGTTACTCTAATGTGATTTGGAATTCTCTTCAAGCCAAATGTGGATTCTATACAAACCCAAACAATTTTGGGCATCATCTAATTGAAAGCAAAAATTGAAAGTTATTGGATCACTTGCAAGCTTCGTGCACCACGTTTTGGAAGGAAAAGAACAATAAAATTTTCATCAACATTTAAATCTGAAAGTTTTTTCTATTATAATTTTACAATATTTCCTCTTACAATACATGGTTTTTTTTGTTCACCCTTAATTCATAAATATCGCCCCTTTATATAATCACACAATGGAGCACACACAAAAGAGAATCTAACATTTCATATGAAAAACAAGTAATGTTGCCTCGTTCCGAGAGCAGTTGCTTTGTGCAAATAATGATCTAACATCATAAATATTCAAGTCAACTCCTCTTAGTACTCTTAATTAACAGAAATTAACATATACCGAGCACCTTCTCCCTAAACCATTTGAGATGGGTCAATAGTTTTTCGCGATTCGGAAGATTTTCTTTGATGACCGTAACTTGTTTAAAATTTTGAACCCATGCACACAAGCGAGGCAAAGTGCTTGGTTCTAGCAGTTTTACACCAACCACTTCTTCCATGCATTCGAACCCATAAGCAAACCATCCAAATGAGATGTCTACTAATCCTATTGCGCCGCCGCCAAAGAACTTGTTATCTCCAAGCCCTTTCTCTTCCATGATTTTCAGCACTTCCAATGCTTCTTTGATCGCTTCCTCTTGTTTCTTTCCACTTCCATAGGTGAAAAATTTGAGAGCCTAAATGTGAGCGCAAATATATAATTCTTCTTATCAATAGTATATAGTAGAACAAAACAATAATATTAAGAATGATTTGCAAAAAAATTCTCTCAACTTTCATGAGTTTAAAAATACCACTCGGACCCAGCTCCTCTAAGTTCATTCTGTATACAATATCTTAAGTAGAAATGCTAGGAGTTACACATTGTGTCCTTTTTGTTGTTATATCAATAGTTGTGGTTCAAACACAACTTAGTAAATATACTTGGAATTATTTAGAATCAGAATGGTTTACATTTTACATCAAAGGGTCCTTGACCTCCCTCTTTCTCTTCAAAGGGAAGGGGTTTTGAATCGGGACATCGACAAAAAAATGTGTGTGTAATCTATGTAACAGCCTCTCAACCATTGATTTAGAATATATTTTTCAATGTATGATAGGGAGAATCAATGGATTCACTTCTCAATGCAATTAACCCCCCTATTACTTGAAAGTTGCTCTTATCCAATTAAAGTGCCCATAAAATACATATAATTTACCATTTTACCCTTCAAGACATAGAAATAAAAGAGCATTTGTTGTGAAATGACAAAAGACGACAAAAAAAAAAATAGGGCAATATATATGTACATATATGATATGAAATATGGATAATCCATTTACATTACAATTCAATTCATGGATCTAAAAACGAGCTAGTATCCTTTTGATCAATAAAGAAAGGTCTTATAGTGATTTTACATCCAAAACTTTCAATTTTCTATCACTATTGTAATTGTCCAAAAATAGTAGAGACATCTGCAAATTTTTGGAATGGTATAGGAGCTTTTTTTGAAAAAATAAAAAATCAGAAAGGTTTTCTATGTGCAAAAAGGAACAAGTATGTTTGAGGTCTTTTACCTAAAAAAAAAAAAAAAAAGGGTATGTTTGAGGTCAAACGAGTGGTGTTTAGGGAACTACATATATGTGCAAGGCTTGTGTGGTCTCTAAGCAATCTGCTAAGTACTCAGAAAGATCAATGATCTGTAACAAATTTACCTTCCGATCTTCTCCAAATTGAATCCAAAACCGAGCCATGGCTCTCTCGTAGGCATCTTCCGGCAGCAACGGGTTCTCCGGCCAAGTCTCTTCGATGTACTCAAGAATAACGCCGGACTCAACAATTGGTTTGCCGCCATGAACAAGCACAGGAATCTTCTTGTGAATTGGATTATACTGTAAAAGCAGTTGAGTCTTGTTGGAGAGGTCTTCTTCTATGTACTCATACTTCACACCCTTTAGTTTCAGAGCCCATATCACTTTGTGGCTAAAAGGGCTAGCCCAAAATCCATGTAGCTTTACTTCTTCCATTGTTTGGTGGTTTGTCTATCACCAGCACAAGTCAATTTATAATGGCAAATGCTTCCTTCTTGCTTAGGTACTACTTTTCAAATTTGGAAATTATAGGGAGAAACCTTATAAGTCAAGGTTTTAGTTTGTGCCATGATCTTTCAGGTAATTCATTTGTATCCCTCTTTTTGTTCTCCATGTGCAAGAAAAAGAAAGAAAGAATCAAATTTTATTTTACTTATGGGTAAGAAATACATTCATACCCACTTTTGTCGTTAGGAATATTTCAACTCTTACTTTATACTTTAAAAAATGCGAAATGATTACTAGATCACAAAACCTTGAAGAAGTATACCAAGTATACCGAATATATATTTGCCTTTCCAACACTCCCAAGGTTTATTAGCAAGAAGAATAAATGAAAAATACGAGGTTAGTACAGGAAATTTGTGAACAATTTATGGTTTGACAGAAATAATATTTTATTTTAAGAATATTGAAAAAAGGCTTAAATTCTCAAAAAGGGAATTGATTTGAGAAGCATTAATCCAATAAGTTGTTTTTCGGGGGAGATTATTGATTTAACAAATTATAAGGCCCTTTGCTCAAAACTTCTATTTTTTTGCAATACTTTTGTTGACTAAATTGCCTTTTGATAGCGAATCAACTTCAAACTATTTGAAGAAATTGAATAATGGTGGAATACCACACTGTCATGCTGACTACTAGCTAGTATGTACTTGCAAGGTTGCACACCTTTTTTTGACTTTATGGACTTGCCTCATTTGAATATTCAGACCACCTCAATCTTCTCGAGTATATATATTCAGGCGCGTCATATTATTATTGTACCAATTTAAGTAAAATACTTGGTATAATATATTTTTTAATAATATAGCGCATGACATATCCAATATCTGCTTATCCTCTGCAACACACATTGTAAAGTGTTTTTGTATTTTATTGGGCAATTAAATTGACCAGAAACACCATAACATTCAGAATATAATTTGGATTAATTTAAAATATTGCATTCTCAATTAAAATTGTTGTCAGGTTTAAATTTGTATAATATGTTATGTGTGTTGTATTTTTAGAATAATGTATTGCTTGTCACGTTTTGCATTGCTGAAAGAAAATGTTTGATGACACTTATTTATACACGCTCTAAGATGTAATTTAAAAATTATAAATAAAGAAAAACATTTAATATATAAACGAGGGGAACACTATTAGATGCTAAATCCTAAGAGGGGACGTCCAATTGTGACGTCACACATGGTCTCCCAGGGAGAGGTTTGATGAGAGTTCACACTCTGGGTATAGTAGGAAGCCACTTTCATTGGCCTGCCCTTGACAATACAATTTACCATCAATAGGGTTGTTATAAACTATGGACCAACAATTTTAAAAAATAAGTTGTATAATGTATATGGTATGGTTAATAATTTTATTGTATTTTTTTTTTCTTGTATTATATATATTTTTTCTCATTTATATTGTATGAATTTTTATTTTTCTCATTTATTAATTTTGTAGAAATTATAATTACTAAGCGACATTTATAATTTAGGAATGAGTCATTACTTATGTTTAATGATTTTTAAAAAAATATTAAAAATTCAAAAACTACGAATCGGTGCATTTTGAACCCTATATCAAGGTTATCAAAATCGATAATTACGATAATAATTTTTATTACGCAAAGTTGATACATTCTCACTGAAGAAAGTTTTGTTGCAAATTGCAATGGGATGTGTAGGGGCTTGAAAATTTAAGCCAATTTGTGCCTTTTTGGGATGTTGTAGGGCTAGGTCCATTCTATTATAACCCACTTTTTGGGGTTGTACAAATCTTTATACAAGTGCTATTTACCATTAAAAAAAGAAAAAAAGAAAAAGAAAAGAATAGCCAGCCCTGTTTCTTGTACATGACCATTGCAATTCATCATAACCTCCCTATTCATAGGGTCCCTAATTTTTATTTGTGGAGACTAATTAGTAATATGAAAATAAATTTTTTTTTTAAAAATAGAGTGTAATCTTCTCTTTATATTAGAATTTTGAAAAGCATATCTAAATAAAAATATTTATAAATTAATTAGAGTATCTAAAAAATCACCAAATGCACAAAATCAGAAAAACAATAGGATTGTTATAAACTATAGACCAACAATTTTTAAAAATAAGTTGTATTATATATATGGTAAGGTTAATAATTTTATTGTATATATTTTTCTTGTATTATATACATTTTTCTTATTTATATAGTATGAATTTTTATTTTTCTCATTTATTATTATTTATTAATTTTGTATAAATTATAATTACTAAGGGGACATTTAGAATTCAGGAATGAGTCATTATTTATGTTTAATGACCTTTAAGAATTTAATAAAAATCACTAAAATTTATTAAAAATTCATCTTTGTTAAATTATATTATAAAAAATAAGAATCAGTGCATTTTGAACCCTATATCAAGGTCAAGAAAATTAATAATTACGATAATCAATTTTATTACGTAACATACAGTCTCACTAAAGAAAGTTTTGTTGCAAATTGTAATGGGATGTGTAGGGGCTTGAAAATTTAAGCCAATTTGTGCCTGTTTGGGATGTTGTAGGGCTAGGCCCATTCTATTATAACCCACTTTTTGGCGTTGTACAAATCTTTATACAAGTGCTGTTTACCATTAAAAAAAACGAAAGAAAGAAAAAAACAAAAAAAGAAAAGAAAAGAAAGAAAGAAAAAAAAGAAAAGAATAGCCAACCCTGTTTCTTCATGACAATACAATTCATCATAACCTCCCTATATATTACAGCGTACCTAATTTTTATTTGTGGAGACTAATTACTAATATGAAAATAAATTTTTAAAAAAAAATATCGTGTAATCTTCTCTTTACATTAGAATTTTGAAAAGCATATATAAATAAAAATATTTATAAATTAATTAGAGTATCTAAAAAATCACCAAATGCACAAAATCAGAAAAACAATGGAGAGAATCACATGAATTATATTCCGAATTATTTTAACATTTCTTAAAATGTGGACTTCCAAAAGTAAGACGTGAAATTCTAATATTCAATTTTGGGTAAAATGCAAAAAAAATCCCTAAGCTATTGGTGTATTGCGAAAAACCCCCTAAAATACAAAAAAAAAAAAAAAAAAAAAAAACTCCCTTAAGCTATATATTTTTTGCATTTTACCCAGACAGTTAACCTTCCAGTACCAAAAAAATTCAAAAGACAATGGTGCCCTTATAGAAAAACGACATAGTTTCAAGGGTTCATGGACTTAACTTGCTGATTTGTAAAGTAAATTCTCAGAGGCCAATAAAATCGCAAACGCAACAGTAGAGATGGTTGTCTCTCTCTCTCTCTATATATACATTATACACACAGCATTCATTTTTTTTTCTCTCAAGTTAATGGATGATAGGCGTAGCTCTCAAAAGCCACTATCCTTGACCACCACAATCCCTATAAAACCCAACTCTGAAACTGACCACTCAGTTCCTATATTCACCTGAGTAATTCATCCTAACCTTTTTGTTTTGTTTTCTTTTTTTATAACAAAAAGGATTTTTGTGCTTTGAGAAGATTGTAACTAGAATATAAATTTAATCACAAAAATTGATTTTGTCATTGAACAATGTTTTCCTCTTACATGCTTGATTTGAACCGTGGGATATGAAGTTTGCGTGGATGATATAGAGTGGCGGAAATTGGGTTAAGCTAAGTTGCATGGATTATTATTTATTTATTTATTTATTATTATTATTTTTTTGGTCGAATAAGTTGCGCGCAGAGATGGTCCAGATGGATGTGTGTATAAAAATATATATACAAATAGTGATAGAGAGGTGAGAGACGACAGAGAGAAGAGACATCGTGTTTGGGTGTGTGGGGTTGGTTATAAGGTGTTTGGGTGTGGGGTAGGTTATAAGGTGTTTGGATTGATCAGCATCAAGAATTTTGAAAATCAAGGATTGCAGATGGGTAAATCGTGTAGTATATACCCATTAGGGGAATCCACTCCTCAGACGACATCCACCACTCCGATCCCAGCAACAGATTCGCGCGGCCACAAGATCTCATATTCTTGCAACCCAAAATTTGAATGCCCTTTTATTGGACTCAATTAGAGAAGGTGAATTTTACCATTGCTCGATCTCTCCGTTCTCTCTCTTCGATTGATTGATTATTCCTCAGCAATCACAAGTATGATATGTATATATATATGTGGACAGAGGGAGAATGACAGAGATGAGCGAGCTATATATATATATATATATATATATATAGATGGGTTCAATTTGGCCAACAAGGTTAAATTCGACTGTAGCAAGTTTTTTTTTTTTTTTTAATTTATACGAGGAAGATGATGAACAGTGTTTTTATATCTCCTTCTCTCTCTATATATGTATAATAGACAGATGGATAAGGTTGTGTTTGGGATGTTATAGAAGTTAAAGAGGGGTTTGACCATTTGACTGTTGTGGTGGGGTAATAGAGTCTTTTTGTGTTCATAAGGATATTATAGTCATTAAATAGTATATTGTGTGTCATCTGAAATTTTAATTTTCGCCGAATGGGGCTATCTGCAACAAAAAGCATAGTTTAAGAGGTTTTTTGCAACTTTTATAGTTTAGGAGGATTTGTTTCATATTAGTTAATAATTCAGGGGGTTTTTGCATTTTACCCTTCAATTTTTTACTATAAATTTTCGAAGAGCCACGTGTTTAAATCTAGTTAGTATTTGAAAATTAACTATTTATAAGAATCTATCTAGATAGGATTCCGAACAGAAACGAGACCATGCGGGGACTAAGGACCAAATTTTTTTTTTTTTTGGTTTGGGCGAAGGTGAGCTCTGATTTGGGTGCGATCTGGGATTAATTTGGTTTTGTTTATAATTGGTGATGGGGTTGTGTTTGGTGGACGAGCAGTGGTGTTTGATTGCGAAATTGGCTTCAGTGTGTTTGATGGAATTGTTGACGCTGCAGAGAATGGAACAAAGCCTGAATTAAAAATAGGGTTTCTGAATTCAATAGAGAGAAAATTAGGGTATGAACAAATTCTGGGTTCTTCTTCTC